CATGCACCATGTTGGCGTCCTCCAGAAATCAATATTTAAATAATTCTAGTAATGCGAAAGCTTACCGTTTAGAACAAATATCATCGCACTGTTAGGCGCACAACAAGGTCTAAAACTCATGTTTTAATAAATTATTGGTCGCGGAAAGCAAAAAACTTCTGCAAGAAACAACGCTTTTCTCTGATAACGATAATGACGCCTCGCGAAAAATGCAAATCAGCATCTTTGAAATCAGCACCCACGCTGTAAACGTCGCCGTGGCGTCCCCTCGGGGATCTTCCGTTCATTTATGAGTAAGTTGACTCGTAAGCAAGGCCTAGGTGGCGCTAACGACAAGCAAAATCTTGGTCTGACCTTGACTATTTGAGTGAGACCCCCATGGTCTGCTCTCAGCCGTTAGTAAGATAGCTGAACGAGCCATCTTACGAAGACTGCGGGACGAAGCAGACGAACTAAATGTGATACCACCGGAGCAGTTCGGGTTCAGAGGGAAACATTCCATTGAACTGCAACTGCTCAGGATTGTGGAAAGATGTTCCAGGGAAATGAACCAGAAGAAGTCCACTGGAATTCTCATGCTGGACGCCAAAAGGGCCTTTGACAGAATCTGGCGTGAAGGGCTGGTCTATAAACTACGGACAAATGGTATCAGTGTTAATATGTGCCAATTAGTTGATGATTTTGTTCGCGGAAGAACCTTTAGCGTCCAAACTGAAGGAAGCAGATCGACTAGTAGGAGCACGAAAGCAGGTGTCCCGCAGGGGGCGGTACTCTCTCCAATGCTCTTCAATATCTTTACCAGCGACATACCTCGGACTACTTATACGACCCTGGCACTCTTTGCCGATGACACAGCCCTCCTTGCGACATCAAGGAGCAAGAAATGCGTAAGGCGGAGACTTCAGCTGTCAGCTGATGAACTACACGAGTGGTTTACTAAGTGGAAGGTAAAAATTCACCCAGGCGAAAGTCAAGCCCTCCTCATTGGTAGGAGGCGGGACAGCGTTGATGGAAATATCAACATCGATGGGGTGGACGTCGAGTGGAAACAAGAGGCGAAGTACCTAGGTATCATCTTGGATAAGCAGCTTACCTGGAGGAAGCATGTTCAAACATCTATCAATAAGGCCAAAGCTGTAACCAGCAAGCTCTACCCACTCCTCAACCGCCAAAGTCATATGAGCATTAGGAACAAGCTCCTGCTGATCAAAACAATCATCAGGCCCGCATTGGCGTATGGCCCTACGTCGTGGGGCTATGCGAGCGAATGCCACTTAAAAAGACTACAAGCTACGGAAAACAAAATTCTGCGAATTGCAGTTGACGCGCCTTGGTTCGTACGTAACAGCCAGATTTACAGAGATCTAAAATGGGAACCACTCCGCGACTTCATAGCCCGAAAAGCAGGAGCTGACTTCCAGAAAGCGGAAAACCACTGCAATGAAGATCTTCGCAACGCGGTAAGTTATGAACCAATGGATATGGGCCCTAGGAAAAAAAGATCCAGGCACCAACTGGCCCAACAGGGCAACAGGCAACGGGTGTTGAGAGAGAATGAGATGCAACGGCATACGGGTGCCAGAGCCGACACAAACTTTAGACTGTGCTTTAGACAACTGCATGTTTTAAAGGATTTCCTGGAAACTACAGCGCAAATGGGGGTTTTTTAGTTGGAAAAAATCCAATACTACCCGGTATTGCGGGATGCCGGGTGTCTTCGAAAAAATTGTTCGAGAAACATTTAGTTTTATTCAGTTTCCTATTTCTTTTTCTTTCCAATCAAATCACTGGATTTTCGGCTTATGTCAAGTTACAGTTAATAATACAGATTTTTTGTAGGTGGTCAATGCAGCTTTCGGTAAGTTTAGCACTACTTTTACCGTGGGTGATCCTGGCCAACTAATTTACATTTTGCGTTGTTTTTTCAATTTTTTTTCTTTAACCAAAATGCATACATGTACGTATAATGCATAAGTATGCATTTTGAAGAGGTAAATCACCTGATTGTTAAAAATTTAAGCAAATTATTTTTGGCTGACCGATTCGTGCCAGGGATCCGTCCGAATAATTGCATTTTTTTATTGTTTATTGGAGTTAAAACGTTGCGTGTGATCCTGGCCAAACCAATTAGATATCGTGGCTTTTTCAAAATTAAAAAAAAATCTTTTATGCGAAACCATTCGTGTTAGGGATTTTTAAATCTTTATTGCTATTTATTGCATTATTGGAGGATAGCACGTTAAAACGTTGCGTGTAATCATGTCCAAACCATTTAGATTTCGGGCTGTTTTACCAAAATTAAAGATTTAAGCAAATTATGAATTAAGCATCACAAATCTAATAAATCAATAAACAAGTGAAATAGTTAAACTATCACAAATCTGGTGGCGTCTTGTTCTACAGTAAGTTAATAATAATAAAATAATGATCTAACTCGAAGGATAAAAAAATACTCAACAATAAAATGAAAAACGAAATAATTAATTCATATATGCTTTATTGGTAGAGATTAAAATACATTTTCTAACTGGTTTGGGTTCATTTATATCTTATACGTACATCCTTTTTATTACAATCACTGTCTTTACAAGTTTAATTACACACAAAATATTACAAAATTCAAAAAAAGAGGAACATTTCATAAACAAAAATAAACAATGTTTAGCTATTTAAATATGATTTTATTTATATACACTTTCTTTGGTAAAACTAGCCAATGAAATCGCAAAACACATCAACAAATGTTTTTTATAACAAAATGAACGAATTGCCACAGAACCTATAAAATTAAAATAAAACTACACGAACAAAATACGTTAGTATACAAACTATAAAAACTTACAAAAACGAGTATTTATAAAGCCATAAGCAAAAATAGTAATTTTCGGAAGATACAATATTTACAAAATTGCTATGTACAGAACTCGCTTATAGGACCGTTATATTTTAAATACATGTTCTATAATAATATAACCAGTATAGTAATATATTTTCAATATATTGTATATCTCTGCAGTTTTGAGATGCAAATGTTATATAATAAATGCTATAGTTTAAATTTTAACATTAGCAGTCGCTTTCTACGACTTTATATCAAACGACTATGTTATTGTCAAACAACCTTACTTATACGACACACTGGAAATTATACATTAGGTACATAATTTTGGAATGGTTCAAATAGTTCAATTACTTGTTATAATTTCAAAATACCCTAAAAATATTTACTTCAATGGTTAACTCAAATCACCGCTTTCATTATATTATCTTATACAATAATGTCCTTAATTAGAATATCTATAAAATTGTTAGTAACAACTGGCACCATTTATTTCTTTGTATAGGTGAAAAATCTATGTGAACTACGTATTGTCAATTAACACCTTTAAATGCATGGCTCGTGCCTTTTTATTGTACTGTTTGCAAAATAAGAGCAGGGTGAATATCTGATAAAAATCCGAGCATATATTCTTGGAGTCTTGAGAAATTAACATAAATTAAGATTTGGTTTTTTGTTCTCCGTGTGGAATGGTTAGGTATACTCGTACGCAGTAATTGTATTTCACAATTTATAGGATTATACTTGCCAACATTGTTGCTTGTTAGGCAAATATTTCTACCCGCTAAAAACAATGTTTCATGATGATTTCACAAAAACATTTAAAAAATAGTGTGTTTGATTTGTTCCTTGATTAATGCCATTTTAAATTCTTCAACAAATCCAAAGATAGAAGGCATAAAATGTAGCATCTTTAATTTACATCTGAGCGCAGAAATACATATCAATTTTAATCAATACACAATAGCTATAAGACGAACTGTTTCAGAAATCCTAAAACTAACTGTAGCTTTTCGATGTAGCCGAAACCCAATTTTTATAAATATACAGACTCCTACGCGTAATATATTTGACGGAATTTTGGCACTCAAAACGATTCTATTATAGATTTATTATAAATATATTTTAAATTTCTCACCCTACAATATAAAATCAATAAGATTATCTATTCTCGTAGATAGAAACATGTTACACTAAAATCAATGTGATCGTTTTGAAGCATTGGTATAAAGGTAACTATTTCAAATGCATCTTTGAGACCATTTATATAGCATACAGAACGGGACATCTAAAAGTAGTTGTTTTCTATAAAAATGTTCTTACTTTCAATTTAATGAAGGTGTTTTCAAATCACTAAAATATACCTTAGCTTTAATGGTCCCCCCTTACATTTCTTCATTTCGATTAATTATATTTGCAAAATGGTGGTACATTGCTATGTAACAATTAATTTAATTGCATAAATAAATACAATCCAGGTATTCCATATAGAGTAAACGATTTATCCGGATAAACTTTCCCATAATATCTAGTCTTTATCGACTGATTTTTAAATAAAAACTAAGGTATATTTAACTGGATAATAAGGATAAAAAGTGATTTGTATGAGATTCTGAATATTTATAACAAATAAGCAAGTTTTCATGAAAATTTATTTCTAAATCAAACTAGCGCCTAAATGATTTATCATTGTTATTGAAAATAATTTTTGTAAATACGTGTTTGTTCGTAATTTTGGCGGTTCTATTACTGAAGTGCAAATGTGTGTTACTTCTAATTTTAATAATGAGGTATTACTGCAGTTCATGTAAAACCATTTCGATGTATACTCATTCAAATAAAAATATTATGTGAATTTCCAGAAAAGAAACAATTGCTTATTGCCCCATGCCTGCAATTGCACCACTACATGTTAAAGTGGTGGAAGACATTGGATTTAATAATACTGGTACTTATATGTGCGCGTATCTAATGAGTATTTATACAGGTACCAGAAAACCTACATATAAAATTAAAAGAGAAAACATTCATTTGACATTGATTGAGACAAAGAAAACATTGATTTGAGATTCAGTAATCAATCAATATCTCAATAAATTAAGTATTTCATTGCAGCAGTTACTGTGAAATTTAACTTTGCTTCAAATGAATGTATAATTTAAGGAAATACTTAATTCACACGAAATAGCGTCATTTTATCCCGAAAAGGCTGCATCTTTACTTAGCAAGGTATATTTCACTCCCATTATATAACTTTATGTGAACTTTTAATATGGGATAGAAAGCTTAAATTGCATTTAATGTAGACATGGCCAAGTAGAAAAAAAGATTGCAAGAACACTAAAATAATTGCACAAATACCTAAATAAAATAACATATTTGGTAATGTATATATCAATAATCTACATATTATGGCACAAAATTCACAGCTTTAAAAACGATCAGACGCAGCATATTGCCGACAAATAGATTTATCTCTTTTCGTTATGCTATATCACCTAGTGTAACTGGTTGAGTTTGAATAATTTCAGCAATGCTTTTCATCAGTTGCGTTTGCATCTCCTGTTTACCAAACTCCATATAGCATTTTCCTGAGAAATCGTAAATTAACTAGTTTTGAAAATAATTTTAGATCAAATCTAAAATGTACTGAAAATATAAAATAAATCTATTCGGAGACAAATGCAAACCTGCCCATTAATGTAATATTTTAACACAAAATACACTAATTACAATTTAAATACACGAAAATAAAGTACTTAAGTACTTTAGTAACAATCTAAGGTACAATACGGCACTGAAAGAAATGTATTTACACTTGCCAACAAAAATTATTCTCTATATGGCTTGCAGTACGAGAATCGGTGGTTCATATGTTGACTGTACGATCCAGAATGAGAAAATCGCTTCAAACATTTGCTACACTGAAATGGCTTTTCTCCTGAATGTAACCGCTTGTGCTCCGTTAAGTGATGCTTGTGTTTGAAGGCTTTTGGACACTCGTCGCATTTATGTGGTCGCTGACCTGCAATTAAAAAAATATTATTTTATTCAAATTTTATGGGTTATGTAGATGTTACTAATACATGTGCCAAGCTGTAAGGTCAAGCTCTATTTATACGTACTGGGTGGTACTAAGAAAAGTCGTCGATGGTAGCTCAAAAACTATTAATTTTACACAATCGAAAAAAATATTTCATAGGGAATGTGATCTTTTAAAAAGTATTTTCAATTAGCGGTTAAATCGGCTCAACAGACTATATATCGTGGATTTAAAGCTAAAAGAGAGCCAAAAATTGCGGTATTTGTGTTGGTTGGCCAAGTAATTTAAAAAAATAATATATTGGACTTCAAAAACTAAAGAAGTCACCTCAAGGCCACACAAACAGGTGCACTAAAAATGTGTTTTAAATAACAGGGCTTTCAAAAGGATTCTCATATAATTTTCGGTTCGGTTTGAAAGTGGTACTACCAAAAATTTACATTTTAGAGTTTGTCAGTTTTAGCTTTAAGCCCACAATTTGGTTTCATAAATAAATTTTAGTAACTGATAACAAGCGTATTGCAAATTTTATATGTCGAAATAATAGCATCTAGCAAAACATGACCCTAGTGAACATATCTTCGTTAAATTGAAGGTTCTTTTAGAATTTGCAGCTAACAATTAGTTGAACTAACACAAAACCATGCTTCGGCACGTTTCTGTTGATAAAAATGTATATTTAACTTGGTTTTGAGAGACCGGATACAGTACGATCGCAACGGTGGTCTTATTTTAGTTTAGAACTTACTTGTGAAGAGCTATAGCGAAAGCAGTAATTGTTTTTAAGGCAAAAGACGGTTCCGTATTTGGAATATTACTGATTTAATCGACAAACTAATTAGTGCGTTTAAATAAAATGTATAAGAAGCCAGCAGCTCTTTTTGGTACCAATCATCCGGAAAAAAAGCATTAAGCGGGCGTCAAAATTGGCGCCGTCACAAAAAAGCGGAAATATAGAAAATTATTATTTGCGTAGAAATGTATAACGAATAGTAAGTTACAGTTGTATTTGAGCCATCCTCAGGGCTCATAAATTGAGTGCTATTCTGGCCAGAACAGGGTGAGAACCACCAACTATGTCACCGAAGGCCAAATAAAATCAGAGCATTGTGCCAGAAATTTTTTCAACTAAAAACGATTGAAACTGCTTTGACTATACCATGCATCAATGTGAAATGGTTGGTTTGCCTGGTGTTATAAAATTGACTTTTTAGAAGCAATTTCGTGAATTAACGAGTTCGACTATTTGAAATCACGCTCCACACTTGACCGCAAACCGATTTCAGACGGTGACCACAAAGACGCGAAAGTCCACATTTACGTCCGTATTATTTTGCAGCGATAGTGTAGAGTATGCTTAAAAAATATATAAACAAGAAAATCAAGCTTAACCAAATTTAAGAGCGTACATAAGGAAAATTGTTCCTGAAATTGGAACTCATAATGAAACAGTAGAACATGCACTGATGAGGCACGTAGAGTGTCGGTTTCAAACATTTGGACTTGGAATTTTGGAGATCTCGATCTTCAAAATGACCCATCTGTCATGTGACTTGAAAACAGGATTTTTCAATCAACAAGATGGTTTATTCCTTTAACCGAGACCAGCAAATATCCTGTTGCAAAAAATTTGTATCCAAATTACATATGAAATAAGCACATACTTAACGTCCTGTAGCCGATACGTTAAAAATTAGTTTGAAAACGCTTTAAAACCTATCGAAACCTCACGAACGATTTTCTCTTACTTTAACATCTAAAATATGCCGTTGTGTATGACGCTTGTATTATGTACCACCTTAAAAATCCGACATGGTGTAATATGTATTGTACTTACCAGAATGCTCATATTTATGTCTCGCCAACGAACTTTGCTTGGAAAATGCTTTATCACATTGATCACACTGGAATTGTCCCTCAATTTCTGCCTCCTGAACCAACCCTTGATTGGTCATACTTTTAAGAATCATTTGTTGGACCTTGGCTCTTTTGGTCTGCAACCCCTCTTCATCTTGAGCTCCCTCGTGTGGTGAATGGCTTGAGTTGGGACTTAAACTTGTCATCCGACTGGTAATCAATTGCGTTAAACTAGGAAGATCGTGAGCTCCAAATTGCAGAAGGTGGTCCATTGGAACTATCCCCATTCCAGGTAGATTGGAAAGTTTGTGGGCTGGTTGAGCCAGTATTTGTGCCAATCGGCTGCTGTTGTATTCTAGAGGCGACGGCGACTGCCTTGGATCTGAAGAATTTGATCCTTGAAAGTGGTTCTGGTATGACAAATAGGGCGTTGGACTTCTTGACGATTTATGGCTAAGATTGACTATTTCGTCATGAGTAGTGTCGGAATGATTCACAGAATGCGGACGTCTAGGCGAACAAGATGGGGATGTGTCATTTGAAAGGGTACCACACCTTCTAACAGATAAATCCAAGGGTTGTTCGGAAATATATTGGGGCGATGAAGGCATAACTTGTTGGTTCAAGGACGTTGAAGGCACATTATATCGAGATCCAGAGGCGGTTGGGTTGTACGGAACTTGTATTAACTTTCCTTCTCGTCGATCTCTGGCTCGCGTATTTTGAAACCAAACTTGCACTACTCGAACAGGAAATCCGATATTAGCTGCAATGTTTTCTAAATCTTCACGTTTCGGTCTGGGATTCTCCTTGTATTTATCTTTGAGAATTCTTAGCTGCTCCTCGGAAATTAAAGATCTAACACGAACTTTCCTTCCGTCCTCATTGACATGATCTGTGGTTGCATAATTTTCCGAATCCACTTCTTCCACCTGATAGCAGTTTCTCTCAAAATCATGATCTTCAGCTCCACTAATGTTTTCGTTGGAACCATGCTCCGATTTCGGGGTTAAGGCTGCTACTAGTTTCGCGGCTAGTCCTTCGCTCTGAGCGTCTTTGCAGTCGTGTTTCTCCAAACCAGCAACTGTTGAAAATATGTCCTTGCAATTGGTACACGAAAAGTGTTCTTTAGGGGAATGTGCAGTAGGAGCAGTAAAATTATCTGTTGCATTTCCTGAGTCCTTAGTGACAGGAATCGTCTCGGAAAATATTTTCAATGCATCGATAGTATTTGCGTTGAACATTGGAGGTTGAGGTAGATTATTATGCTGACTATTGCCGATCTTGTCATCAACACTAAGTATTTCAGTGTTGTGATTGTCACTGTCTTCATCCATAACCAGCTCGCCGCAATCAGAAGCGTTGGATTTGGAAAGATCATCAAATTCCTCCGGACCTCGATTAGCTACTAAAGTAGTAACACTAAGTTTACCTTTTTGTGGCTTGGAAAAGTCTTCGGCCATTGCACTAGATTCGGATGTTTGCCCAAAAGAACTCCTTACAGGACTTGATGTGCTGTGTTGCTGGTGTTGTACCTGTTGCTGTAGTTGTTCGAGCAGGTGATTTATAGCCGATGCCGAGTATGGGTTTATGGTGTGCGGTGTATTGAGAATGCTATGTGGCGTACTGAAGTAAAAAGGGGCCATTGATGGATTTCCACTCATATGCGATTGAAACAAAGCTGCAGCTGCTTCCGGGTACTTCGGCAAAATGGGCAAGTAAGAAGCATTGTGATTGGGGCTGTTAGAAATGTTATTGTTTATGGGACTGCCAGATGGCCTTTTAGTTGAGCCTTTGATACTTTGGGAAATATTTTTATCCATTAACTGATTATTTATGGCGGCTCTAGTTCTACCCAGCTTCAAATTCATTACTAGGCACTTCTTGGAGGTCATGTGACTGGAATAGGAGCCGGAATGAGAGAACCGTTTGCCACAGTTACCACATTCGAACGGCTTTTCACCACTATGAATCCTTATGTGCTCCTGCAAAGAATAAAATGAGTGGTTAATAACAAGTGTGTATGTACATTCTCCTAAAACTAAATGAAAGAATGGGTAGTAGAAGTTGATAACTTTCCATCCGGAATTTCACTTTTCGAAAAATTTAATTACTTATTAGAAAACTTACCTTGAGGTGATGCTTAAATTTAAAGGCTTTATCACATTCCGTACATTTGAATTTTCTAAGAATGGCACTTTCATCATGGCTGATCATATGGCGTTGGAGCCGGTATACATTTGCAAAGGTTTTGTTGCATATTTTGCAAGACTGTAACAAAAAAAAGTTTCAAATAATTTCAATATTTTTTTTAAAACTAGTTATATTATGGTTTAATTATACTTCCAAAAATTCCGATAACTGTAACATCTTTTTTACGAGAACGCTTATCTTTCATAGCCACGAACTAATCAGTGGTTTAGTAGTAAAAATATGTACTCGTATATGTACTATGTGAAATTAGTACTCGTATACTATGTGCTGTAGGTAGATAGAATGCCGCAAAAGTATACATCAGAAATATATTACATTATTTGTGGATATGTTACAAACGGTATATAGAATCAGACCGTATATAGACAGACTAGGTCATATATATACGGCCTAATACAGCAGGCCGTATGTAAAAATACATGTCATTTAATATACAGATTAGACCGTTTATATACGAACGATTGCTATCCAGACCGTTTATTCAAGCGCAATGATGTTTACATTTTAAATTGTTAACTGCAAAAATTGTGGTAAAGTGTTTGTTCTTTGTTAAAGGCGACGCTAAATACGATATATTTCAGATATGAAATTACAAAAGTAAATCAGATGTAGCTATTAATAATATAAGTTCAAATTTAAAAATATAGGTTTTACGAACAACTGTATGAGCGAACAAAATAGGTTGCCCAGAAAGCCGGGGTTTAACTAAGGGGTACCTAATGATCAGTGTGCACAGAACACAAATGTATGTTTTTCAGAATTTGCAGTATTTTATTATATATATATTTTTTATTATTAAATGCCTGAGCATTTAAATTACTCAATTTCTGTGTCCCGGTTTTTGCCTTATCCAACTCCACTCATCCATGTTTCTTTCAGCAAAACCCGGAGTGGCAAAAAACTGGACCTATCTACTAACATTTTGAACACAGGTGAATGGTTGACATAAACATATTTAAACGCAGGAGTGCCGCTAATTGTTCCGAAACGTTTTTGCTAGAGAAAATTAGGAAACTTATGGCACAACCCTTTTCAGAGAGCCTTAAAGAGAGGAAAGTTACACGATATATTAATTGAAACTAGATTTCGTTATCGCCATATATCCGGGATATCTATTTAGTTTCTACATGCTGAAAGACTTGGTTTTTTTGACAACTTCTCCCGACCGTTAGAAACTGATACCCGAATAGTAAAAAGCCTCGGTTAATAACCAGAATTTGTAAAATATTGAACACAAAAGAAGAATCCCAAGTTCGCAATTTTTCCATTCGACAGCGCAAACAGTAACCAGTTGATGTTGAACATTAAATACCACATAAATAAGTTCTAATTTACTGTAGTTGTGGAAATTCTCATTCTGAAGATATTCAATAAATGGCGGCGTCAAGTTTTATAAATTGAAATTTAGTGGAAAATGTTCACTTTCCAAATGTGTCCAAAAAATGTCCATATTTTAATTAAATTTTTCAAGTTTCTTAAATGACATGTTATATTTTAATCTATTATTGAATATGCAGAAAATATTCTTCAGCAGTATGAAACTAACAAAAATTAACTTGCGATTTCCAGACCTCAACCCGCTAGACTTTTTATGAGGATATGTGAAATCACTTACTTATTCAATAGCAATGTCTAATTTTGGGTACCAAAATCGAAAAAGCGCAGCGTTCGATAAGGTGGAAAACAATATGAAGCACTAAAATTAGCACTAATAAAAGTGCATTGTCATTGCGCTTTTATTAAAATATTTTTTTCCTAAGCACTATTTAATTCGAAAACCATTACGAATTCAAGAACTCAGTTTTTGCTAAATATTATCAAGTGCACCGGATGCTGGATGTAAATTAACTGGTCTATTCTGTTATTTTAACTGATTTTGTTTATAAACCAGTGTACAAGCATTATGGAATCAATATACTTTACACACCGATTCATAAAAAAGTTCGATTTTTACCAAATTTCATTGGACTTAACTGGTGGACCAGTTTGGTGTCAGCGGGAGCAGTTTGGTCTAAATTTTTCTTTTCTTCATTTCGTCTATCGTCTGCTTCGACGTAAGTAATGTATATCTTATCAAGGTTACTAACTTTTACTTTTATTTTCATTAATTTATAATAAACAAATTTATCGGAGTGAAATTGAGCAATTTGTCCTTATACCCCAGATTTCTGGGTCTAATACAAGTCGTGAGTGAGTGTAAGTGTCACACTGGAAACAGATGTATGTTTTTAAATCCAATGTCATGCCTGCATTAAATATAATTTTAAGTCGAACATTCTTTAACGCGTTAAGATTTATATCCCATGGCGCCGATCTCGCAAGATGTGTAAATGAATTTAGCAGCCATATTAGTCAGTTCACGCCTCTTTTAAGTGCTGTTTTGTTTTTTTGTAAACCTCTTTAGTGGCATGACGGGCTGTATACATCTATACATTAATTGGAACTGTTCGAATTGAATATAAATTCGTTTTAGTACGATAACCCTTCTAAATATTGTTTTTTTTTTCTTTTTTTTTTTTAAATTTTAAAAGTGACATTGAATTGGTTTTTAAATATTCGGTAGGATTTAGGCTGAAGTATAATTTTTTGCTTATTGTTTTTTTTGGACTAGACAACAATTTATAAATGTTTAAAATGTAAGTCACAAAGAAAAGAAGTCAAACCTATAATGTCTCCTCTCCCGTGTTTACCCAATTGAAGCCATGCTAACACTTTATATTAGCCTATAATATAAATAATGAATTTAATTTGATAAGAAATTAAAAAAAAAATTTTATCAAAGAAAAAATTCGTAGCAAACATTTTTCTTCCAAAACTTCACTAGACCGATAAAAACAGTTCTCTCTTCAAAAGGTATTCCGCAATTCAGTTCAATTCGACCTCACCTTGTTGAATCCAAATTTTCAGAGATTAGTGTGGCCATCAAACACTACAGAACATCAATTAGATTGTGTCTATTTCCATTAATTCGATAAATGTAAAGGACTAAATGTTTGTACTTATTTTCAGATTCCAGCACTTTACTCTCAGTGTCAGTTTATAGTAGCAGAACTTTAATGGTCCAGAGAAAATCCAATTTGATGAAAATATCATACAAACTACTGTAAATAATATATTAAAAACGGCTTCGTTTTTTAGGTAAAAATTGGCAAAGTTAACATTTTATTTAATAGTTCAAGCAAATCTTAAGATATTGTAATAGAATACCTAATATGAAATTGTTTATTTAAGTGTGTTACTTTGTTGTAATTAGCTTGCAATAAAGTTTTAGAAACTCTTAATGTTAGCTACGTTGAAAACAAGAATATCTTTCTTAGGTACTTAACTGGTAACGAAAATTGATTTTATTTTAACATCAGGTTGATACGAGTAAGTGCAAAAAGTTATCATTTAAAAATTAAATATTAGTATCATGAGACGCCCTCTGCAAATTTGGCGAAAACATGATTGAATGTGGCATTGCAATCCGTCCCAGAATATAAAATTTCATTTGTGTCTTAAGATTTTCGTGAATTAGTAAGAAACGTAAAACTTTGTCGCCTTGTATCTCAAAAACGCAATCGATTTCAATATGTGTTTGTATGATTCCTTTTAAGGGGCGATAGAGGCTCACTTGGCGAGTACGAGAAAAATATTGAAAATTTTTTTTTTTTTTAATTAAGATTATAACTAGATTAAGATATTAACAGTCGAAGATCGATTTTCAACTTTGTTATTAAGCATTATTTTCAAATTGTTCCATGTAATGTGTATAATTGGTAGCATATTGGAATACTTAAGCGTTCAAAAAGAAAAATTACAATCTTTGCTTCAAATTATGAAAATTTTTGATATCAAAAAAGTTCTCTTCTACAATTTTTTGATGAAAAGGCACAGCGGCAATTATGTTTTTTGTCATTAACAGATAGTTACAGGTGGAAAGCCCTTGTCAAACTCTGACTAACTTTGAATTTCCTTTCACGAATTTGCTGATTAGTTCAGGGGAAATGCTACAGTAACATAGCAGAAGCTGAAAGAACTCACGCCAACACAGGACGAGGAGAGTGGTTCCAGGAAGATAGTGGACGACAATTGATGTTCGGGTTCCAGGCACAGAGGAACAAGTATTGGACACAATCGAATCACGGCCTTCCAGGGGCACTCAGAGCACAATAACTGACACTTTTCCAAGCACCAAATAAATTCCAAGGAAGAGGTACGTTCCTACCACGTTTGTACGATACACACAGCACAAGGAGATACAAATGGAGCAGGAGTTAATTAACTGAATACGAGAAGCTGCTTAATAAGAGTGGATAATAAGGGGATTACACACGCACTAGCTTGTTTGGAGTTAACCATTCAAATATTTGGTGTTGTATGGTTTATTTATAAACACCCATATTCGAGGTTATGAGAACAGGTTGACATTTCGTCAACAAATCTTGTTGAATTTACCGTTTATCCTTACCGTCTGTATAATTCTATGGTTACCGGAGTTTTAAATAATTACGAAGCGAACAGGTATTTGCGCAATGTTAATTAGGCAGATTACCTTGAAAAACATTGGTGCCGTATTTCTAATATCGTTTTTTGCTAATTTCGCAGTTTTTAATAACAATTAATTGCTTTTACTATTTTTTCTGTACTCCTATAACATCGCCAGACAACACCTCCAGAGGAATGACGCCAATTTTGAATCACCCTGAATTGTAAATTCGTATTTTCGCTTGTGCTTTGCTGAAATAAGTTAAGAAAATAATAAATATAACATCAAAAGAATATGCAGAACTGAAATTTCCTCTACATTTAAATCCAAAAATAAAATTTCCGAAATCCTGAAAACTCAGATGTCTCAGAAAAGGTAATACTATCTTTTAAATCCACCAAGCTGAATAATGTTTTTAACCTTTTCTTACTTTCTGACTTACTATTGTTTCAGATACTTACGCTTTAAAAAATCATCTGTTTGATGTTTTAGTACCAACGTTGCACATATTGCAAAAATACATTCCTGTAGTAAAATTGGTATTTAATAAATAAAAAACGAAAGAGTTGCAGAAGATTCTAACTGCATT